CCAAATCTATCTGTCTCCATTCCATACCAGTCAGGCTCTCCTCATTTTTATTTTTAAAACTTGGAATACTACCATAGTCTCCTAACTGGCCCCTTGTCTCATCTCCATTCTTTACTCTTCTGCCAATGACCTTCCTAAAAGGAAAAATGATCATGTCACTTCACTGGCATAAAACCTATCAACGGCTTTCCACTGCTGTTAGGATACAGTTTGAACTCTTTGACCTAACACACAAGGTCTTCGATTATTTGCCTCCTTTCCACCAACAATATTAAACCAAAACACTTGTAGTTCCGGAAAAATGCCATGACTTTTGCCATGTTTCCTCCACTCTTTCCTCCCAGACCCTTCAAGTCTCAAAACAGACATAACCTCCTCCAGGAAGTTTTCTGTGATGCCCACTGTCCCTGAAGTCCAATGTTTTTTTGCTGTGCTCCCATAGCACCTCCAAAATAGTTTTTACCATGCTGCCCTGTAGATATCTAGCTCCTCTAGACGGTGATGTTCTCATGAGCAGCTACCTTGTCTAATTACATTTTTTCTCAGCATGTGGTTTTATACCTGGCACAGAGTAGCTGCTCAGAAGACATCTGACTAATAAACGATTGAATAAATGAAGCGTTACTGCACTATGGCAGCCTTTAGAGAAAGAACATTTGGGCATTAGAGACACCAGCCCCCTGTGTCCAAGTTGCCTAGAACCTTGTGCTCACGTGTGCAGCCAGCCCTGGTGCCGGCTTTCTCCCCGTCATTCTCCCTTCCTGCCTCTGGGGGAGCTGTGTGCCCGGCTCCTGCAAGCTGCAGCCGGAATTGGTCCTTGAAGGACGGAAGCTGGGGGGCGGGGCCAGACGGAGCCTGGAACCACCCGGGCGGAAAAGCGGAGTGCTTGTGGCTGTGCTGCCCCTCCCCTAGTCCCGGCGTGCCTGGAGGGGCCCAGCCGGGGTGCTGCGAGGGCTCCGGGAGGTACGGAGGTGGCAGGCCAGGGTCGGTCACCGCATCCGGGCCGCTTTAGGTGGCGGGTCTCTGCCTCCGATTCCCTCTAGGGGCCCCCTCGGGGGTAAATCGGTGGCGGAAGCCCCTCTAGCAGTCTCACTTGGGGTATCCTTTCATTGTGGGGCCCACTATTTGGGCCCCGAGCGGGGAGGGGGTCTATATCGGGAGTTTACTCGAGAGGTCTCTGTTTAAGACACCTCTTGGGAGTGCCCTCTGTATCTGCTCTCTGAGGCAATCCTTGTCTGGGGTTTCTTCTGGGAAGCTTGTGTTTGGAATGCCTTCGACGAGATCTCTGTCCGGGAGGTTTCTGTGTCTGAGCCTCATTTTGGCTTATGAGTTCAAGGGCATCACAGATTTTCTCCTTTTCCCCTTAGATTCTTTCACTCTTTCTTGTGTGATGTTCTTCATCTTAGCCATGGACTTGACTGGGAATTAGAGGGAATTAATTGTCCAGATGAATCATACAGGAAAGCAAAATCCCATTCTCATTAGCTCGCTCTCCAGACGAAGAGCGGCTTAAGACCAATCCACACAATATAGCATTCTTGTTTATTTCTCCATGGAGGCATGGCTCAAGACAGGAAGCTGAGTGGAGCTCCCTCCAGCTACTGGTCTTCCACATCCTGTGCACAGAAAGGAACCCGGCCAGTGGTTCCTTTAAACCAAAGACTCTCTTTCCCCTTTATGGCAACAATTACTGAAAACCTGCTCTGAGCCAGTTACTGATCAGGTGCTTGGAATGACAAAGATGAGTAAAGTACAGCCCACTGTCCAGTAGCGGACGGAGACACATCACTCCAATACACCCTGACCACAGTAGGGGACAGACAGTGCTGAATCCCTAAAGTTCTGAGGTTCAGAACCTGGCCCTCAGTTATAGGAGATCTGCCCTCTGTTTTCATCCCACCTCACCCAGTGTGCTTCTGTTCTTCAAGGCAGAAGGCTAAGCATGGGGAAGAGCTGCAAGGTGGTCGTGTGTGGTCAAGCATCTGTGGGCAAAACTTCAATCCTGGAGCAGCTTCTATATGGGAACCATGTAGTAGGTGAGTGTTGTTGGGGGTAGGGACATGGTGGAAGAATAAGTAGGGTGTGATCATAACATGAAAAGGCTAAAAGCTGCTGCTGATGGTTATTGTACCCCCAAAGAGTGAAATCTACATAACGACCTTAACCCCAGCATATTGAAATCTGGAAAGAGGAAACCCAATATTTGAGATAGCAACGAAAAGCTCTCAGGTCACACTTTTGCTTAGTATGGCGTTAGCATGAGATCCATGCTGTTCCCCAAGTCATCCAGTCCTGCCTGTCAGTCCCTGGCCCTCTGTCCCCAGCCCCCCATTCCTTTCCTTCCCTGGCTGATTGGCCTGTTAGGATATACTCAGTCACCCACGTTTCCCATCTTCCTTCTTTCTACAAACAAGTTTTTTCCTCATTTTGCCCCAGGTTCTGAGATGATTGAGACACAGGAAGACATCTACGTGGGCTCCATTGAGACTGACCGGGGGGTGCGGGAGCAGGTGCGTTTCTACGACACCCGGGGGCTCCGGGATGGGGCCGAGCTACCCCGGCACTGCTTCTCCTGCACTGATGGCTATGTCCTGGTCTACAGCACGGATAGCCGAGAGTCCTTTCAGCGTGTAGAGCTGCTCAAGAAGGAGATCGACAAATCCAAGGACAAGAAGGAGGTGTGTGTGGGGATCCCTTCTCCACCTTTCCAGCCTCATTCCAGCTTCTGGGGCTCTGAAAGACATATCCACGGGTGGGGTTAGGAGAAAGAGTGGGCCCTGGGCTGGCTCTGGGGAGCCTGGCATGGCTGTTTTTCATTCATATCCCAGGAGGTAGGGTAGGAGCTAGAGGAGGGATGGAGGCCACTGGAGGGTGTCTTCACCCCTACAGGTGGCTGTATGTTGAGGCAGCTCAACCAAAGGGGCTTTCCTTTAGTTTTAGAGGTTTCTGACCTAACTTTGGGAGCCCCCACTAATCTTTCTTTATGATGGTTCTTTGCTCTTATCCTTCTGTTCCCAAATCCCCCTTTAAGCTGCAGGTGTTTGGGGAATGTTCCCTCACCAGTTGTTTAGCCAGAAACAGACTGGTTGCTCGTAATGAGCAGGCACGGGTGACACAGGGCTTATAAGAGAACTCCTGGAGGGAGGGCCAGATGGAGGGTAGAACTTAAACAGAGGAAGGAGAATAAAAAGCAACCATCTCCCTCTCCCCAGTCATTGTTTCCTATATAAGAAGAGGCAAAACGTTAGCTGTTGAGACTTTTTCTTCTGTTAGGACTTCTAGGTCGTTGCCAACCCTCACACCCAACTCTGAGGCCCGTGGTACATCCTCAGGCCTCTACTCTGTCCCTCTTCCCCAGGTCACCATCGTGGTCCTTGGCAACAAGTGTGACCTACAGGAGCAGCGGCGTGTGGACCCAGACGTGGCTCAGCACTGGGCCAAGTCCGAGAAGGTGAAGCTGTGGGAGGTATCTGTGGCTGACCGCCGCTCTCTGCTGGAGCCCTTCGTCTACCTGGCCAGCAAGATGACCCAGCCCCAGAGCAAGTCTGCTTTCCCCCTCAGCCGCAAGAACAAGGGCAGCGGCTCCTTGGATGGCTGAAGACCTGCCTTCCTTCCTCCACCTTCCCAGCCTCATTCCAGCTTCTGGGGCTCTGGGAGATATATCCAGGGGTGGGGTTAGACAAGCTGTCCTTCCCAGGCCAGGCAGCTGGGCTGTCCCAGGCTCAGGTCGCTTTTGCTCCCTCCCAGCCTTGGGAAGTGGAGATAATCTAGGTTAGTGCCCCCAAAGCCTCCCTCCCCACCAGCTCTTATCATACCTGCCCTCCATGACCTGGGGCAGTTGTGGTCACTGTCCCCTTCCACCTGCCCTGGATGGGAAGCTGAGCTGCCATGCACAAGTGCCCAGTCTAGGCTCTGGTTCCTGTCACAGGGGTCCCCCACCTGTGAGCTTTCTGCCAGTGACAGACAGACAGACAGACACACACACACACACACACTCATACTCATGGCACCAGACTGGACTCCAGAGGAAGGGCGTCCAGGTATTATGTGCGTGTAGACGTGTGCACATGTGCATGTGTGTGCATGCTGGTGTCCAACTCTGACCCCCTCACCTTTCTCCTGTCCTCTCCTTGGCTGGAAGAAGCCAGCCTCCTGGGAAGTGTAATTTTCTGCTTTAACTCCCCCACCCCCCCCCACCCCCCAATTGTTTTGCTTCTTCTTCCTGCTCAGGGAGCACGTGGCCCTTATTGGCTAGGGTGGAAAGGAAGGATGGGCTGGGCTTCACCAGCTGGCTTTAGGACCCTGCAAGTCCTTTCCTCTCTCTGGGTTTCGGTTTTCTCATCTGTAAGGTGACGGGAGTTGCTTAGATGATCTTCTGGATCCTCTCCAGCCCTCTGATTTTATAATACCTGTGGCTTGGGGCTGGCTCTCACTGTACCCTTTGCTTCTCCCTCTTCAAGGTGCTATGCCCACTGGCCCTGGAGGCTGAGACACTGCTCTCCCCCAACCACCAGGGGGCAGGCGTGCACTGCCTCTAGCTGCCAGAGCTGCCGCCCGCCCAGTGCCCGATCAGCCCACCTCACACCCGGTGGGGCCTGGCCTTCACCCCTTCCTGTGGTTGTTTTCAGCTGGTAGCTGGACTCCTATTTATCAATTACCTGTGTTTATATGCCTGCTGCCATGGTGAAGGCTGGACAAGGTGCTCCTCTAGCCCTTCCTTACCTCAGATGCCTGAATAGAACAAGGCAAACCAGTAGCAGCTTCTCAGGAGCTGACAGATCTGTCGGGGCTCAGAAGGGTGGTTACACTTTCAACATGCTATCAAGTGAGCTTGTAACCCACGACTTCCCGTGTCCACTTCATGCTTCTAATGTGCACACCCAGCAGAGATGAGACACCAGAGCCGGAGCCAGGTGACCTCTAGTCCACACCCCTTCTCCCCGGGATGGGAGAGGTGAATAGGGCAGGGCTGGGTGAGTCGAATTAGGGCATCTACAGGCTCGGGCTTGAATTCATTTATTGATGCATTGGACACAATAAAACCACAACTGTTATCAAAAGGTTCCCCTCCCCTCCCCCCTTCTTGTCCTCCCATTGGAAATATCTAAAAAAGGAAAAGATACAGGTGGATACTGGCAAAGTCCCATATTGTGGGGTGACAGAGCAGTGCTGGGGGGTGGGATGGAGGTTGTGACATTAACTTTGACAGCATGAAAATGGGTCTTGAGTGTGTCAGCCTGGATCCCAACACTCCGCTTCACAGTGAGGGGGCAGGATTCTGCTTGGGAGGAGGGGAAGCTGGATTTAGTGCTGGGGACCGGTTTGGGGTGGGGAGCCTGAGGGGAAAGCTCTTCTTTTGGGAGCCCTGGGGGAGGGGGGGTTGGTGTTAGCTGGGTCCATAGTCTGGAGAGATCCAATGCCCACCACCACCCTCCACCCCCAGCTGGGGTTCAGGAGACATCAGTGAAAGGCTGAGGAGAGAGCTTGTGTGGGATTGATGACCTCTGTTAAAACTGGGCCCAGCCAGAAAATCACCCTCCCCTCCCCCTCTCCCAGCCCTGTCTGATCACAGCAGAGGAACCCCAAAATCTCTCAGCCCCAGCCCCACCCTGGCTTTGCTCCCTGCCCCCCCTTTCTCCTCCACAGTCTTCTTCCACTCCCCCAGGGTCACCTTGTCCAGATAGCCTTGAACCCTGTCTAGCTTGAGACCCCATCTGCCTTTTCCAGAGAGTCCAGTGAATGGAGAGGGCCTCTTCTCTAGACTTCTTGCCAGGCTCAAAGTTAAGATTCCTAGGACCTCTGACCATGGGGTTCTAGGTCTCAGGTGGGGGAAAAGAGAGCACCATGGGGCTGGGGCTAGGATTTTGCATAGATCTTTGGGATTTCTCAGTTTGCTCCCTGCAAAGCAGGCTGGGCAATGCAGGGGAGCCCAGTGCCAGCCTGAGGAGGCTGGGGAGAGGAGGGTTGGAAGGTCTTGGGCCAGGAGGGTTGTAGTTGAATCCGTAGTCCAGACTGGGCAAAGGGCAGCTGCCCTTAAAAGTAGCCCAGCTCTTCCTAGATTGGGCAGGAAGCTTTGGCTGTAAATAGCAGTCTCCTAGGGGATGGAGGAAACTGAGGCATCTCGGGAAGAGGAGGCAAGGACAGCGGCGACTGCTGGGTGCCAAGCCCCGGCCTCCCCAGGAAGCCTAGTAGGGGGCAAAGACGATGGGCCCTGTGGCAGGGCGGACGGCTCCTGCTGGGGTGCGAAACAGAGCCGGGCCCAGGATGGGAGCTGGGAAGAGGGTGGTGGCTGCTGTGGGGGCAGGCCTGAGGGCCAGGGGCCCTGGCAGCGCACAGATGGCTGCGGCAGCGGCGGGGATCGGGCTGGGCAGGAAGCGGGCTGCAAGTGTCTTGGTGAGTTGCTTCTGCAAGGCTAGCTTCGACTGCAGAGGAGAGAGAGAGAATGGACACAGTCTGACCCAGGAAAATCCCAGCCCTCCCGGGGCCCCATCCTTGGGCGTTCTGTTGCAGGAAAGACGTGCCTTTTAGGGTTCCAAACCTAAACCCTTCCCACCCCCAAAACATCATTCCAAAGGGCTTTCTCCAGCACCTGTCTTCCTGCCCAGAGGAAGGAGGCTATGGGGGGTGGGGGCAGAGATGGTCTCTAGGAGATGCACGCCCACTCCTCGCTCTTGACCCAGAGATTGCTATCCTCGGTCCACCTCCCCGGAAATTCCACTGGGCAGATCCCAAGATGGTCCAAAACCCCAGCCCAACTCTCTGCCCAGGCAGCCTTAAAGGGGGGGTGGCTCCCTTCCTGCCCCACCCCCACCAGTCCCCACCAGTCCCCCCCAGCTTGCCCTTCTGGCCCATCCTCTCCCCTCTTGACCCAGGGCCCAGCCCTGTCGCCGGGAGACAGATACCTTGAGGATACTCACAGCCAGCGCTGCATGTTTCTGCAGCTTGCTGTGCTGGCTGGAGGGCTTGGGGGGCTTCCCAGCCAGGCGGTCTTTGTGCCTCCTGCTGCTCAGGTGCTAATGGACAGACAGACAAACTGGCAACAGGATAAGGAAGCCCAAGGACCCCTAGATGACTCTATCATCCTCCACTAGCTAACCCTTCCTCACCCATGAGTCACACGTCAGACGCACACCTACTGGGTATCACCGTGGGAAGGGGAGGTGAGACCCAGCCTTGGCCCCTCCAGGAGCCCACTGCCCCTCCAGCCTCCCTCTTCTTCCTCCCTGGCTCCCTCCTGTCACCTGGGACCGGACCCACCCCTCAGCCCTGCTCTGGTTTCTCCCACCTGCTTGAGTTGGGTCTCCGAATTGACCTGGAGCTGACACAGGGCACAGTGAAAGGGGGGGCTGGGCCCCTGTCGGCCGCCCTGGCCCCCTGCCACTCTCTTGGCCTTGTGTCCGCCTCCCCGGGGCACAGGGCGGCCCCGGCCCCTTCGAGGAGCACCTCGCTGACCTTCCACCATCCACCGGTGCTTGGCTCCTGAGAGAGAAGGAACGACAGCCCCAGCCTGTCAGCACCCAAGAAGGGTTCCAGGGCAGCGGAGATGCCTCTGAACCAGGTCAGGCTGGCTGCCCCCTTAAGCCGCCTGCACACGCTCTCCCCTCCAGCCGCTCAGCCTGAGCGTTCTCTTCTCCACCTCCGCCTGGGCCTCCCAGCTTCTCTTGTCCCCCCCACCCCCAGCCTCCCCAGAATGCCTCCCTGCAGGGGAGCCTTGTGGCTTCCCTTTGCTCCCATCTCAGTGCTTTCCTTCTGGGTCTAAGATAGATGGAGGAGGAGCTTCCTGCCTTCTCCCAGCGACCCTTCAGTTCCTGCTGCCACAGACTTCTCTTCCCAATTCTCCCGCCTCAAGCATTAGTGGGAGGACCCCAAATGCCCACCCAATCACAGCTGAACACAACACCTCTGTCATGAAGCCCTTGGGCAAAGTGCCCAGAAACTCCAGCCTGCCTCCAGCTGTGGAGGGGGTCTCCCTGCCCCACTCCTCCCTGGGGGGGGGGGGGGGGGGGGAGGTGAGGGTGGTGGGGGAGGGAGAGGGGCACGACACTGACCTGTGTTGTGAGCCTGAAGCTGGGAGGCGGAGTTCACTGTCACCTTGCACGTGGGGCAATAGAGGCGCCCCTTCTCGCTCCTGCCCTCCCCGTTCACACCGTTTCCCACAGCAGCCACTGCGGGCTCAGGCCCTGGTGCCTCTCTCCCAGGCTCTGGGGAGCAGGGTGGGCAGGAGGAAGAAGAGGAAGAGGAGGCAGCATCCAAGAGATCTGAGTGAGCCGGCTCCCTCGGCGTGGGGTCCAGAGTCAGCGGGGGCTGGAGTTGGGGGCCAGGGGGTGGGGCTGCAGGAACGGCTGGGGAGATGGAACGCATCAGGTTAGAATCATCTGGAGGCCATGATTTTAAGTAGTGACATATTGGGGGTGGCATGGCAGAGTGGAAGCATCCCTGGTGTCGGGATGACCAGCAGTGGGTTCCAGACTCCACTCTCCCACCAACTCACTGGGCAGACTTGGGCCTCTTTAGGCCTCAGCTTCCCCATCTGAAAATGTAGAGTTGGACAGAGTGGTCTCAGATAGCCCTCACAGCCCCGATACTTTACAGTTCTTTGCTAACTGTTAAATAAGCGGAAGTTGCCAATAAGATGTGCTGTTATATTCATAGAGCACTATTTGTAATAGCATAAAACTGGAAACTGTCCAAAAATCCATCAACAGGAGAATAGAGTTAAACAAAAAAAGAGAGGGGAACCTGACTGGCTCAGTCAGTAGAGCAGGCGACTCTTGATCTCGGGGTTGTGAGTTCAAGTCCCATGCTGGGTATGGAGATTACTTTAAAAACAAAAATATATATTTTTAAAATTTCTTTAGGGGCGCCTGGGTGGCTCAGTCGGTTAAGCGTCTGACTTCGGCTCAGGTCATGATCTCACGGTCCAGGAGTTCAAGCCCCGCATCGGGCTCTGTGCTGACCGCTCAGAGCCTGGAGCCTGTTTTGGATTCTGTGTCTCCCTCTCTCTCTGACCTTCCCCCATTCATGCTCTGTCTCTCTCTGTCTCAAAAATAAATAAACGTTAAAAAAAATTAAAAAAAAAATAAAATTTCTTTAATGTTTATTTTTGAAAGAGAGAGAGACAGAGCATGAGTGGGGGCAGGGGCAGAGAGAGAGGGAGACACAGAGTCCGAAGCAGGCTCCAGGCTCTGAGCTGTCAGCACAAAGCCCAATGCAGGGCTCGAACCCATGAACCTTGAGATCGTGGCCTGAGCCGAAGTCAGACGCTTAACTGACTGAGCCAGCCAGGCTCCCCTCAAAACAAAAAAAACTTAAAAAAAAAAAAAAAAAGACAGCGTTGTACGGTCATTAAATGGAACACTACACAGCAATAAAAATGACAAACCACAGCTGTATGCAACAACATGGAAGAGGCCAGGCACAAAAGTTCCATGCGATAGGATTCACCAAAACCAGGTGCAACGGACTGATGGCAAGAAAAGTCAGGATCACCTGGAGGAGGGTGGTTGAATTCAAGTGGTTGATTAGCATCACCCCAAAATTCACATCTGCATGAAACCCCAGAATGTGATCTTTGGAACCAGGGTCTGTGCAGATGTTAAGTAGTTAAGATGAGATCACAGTGGACTGGGGTGTGCCCCAATCCAATGACTGGTGTCCTTATAAGAAGACCACATGGAGACACAGAGACACGGGGAGAACGTGATGTGAAGACACAGGCAGAGATTGGAGGGATGCATCTACAAGCCAAGGAACGCCACGGCTTGGCAGCAAGTGCCAGAAACTAGAAGACAGGCATGGGACAGACTCTCCATCTGAGCCCCCATGAAGGAATCAACCCCATCAACACTTGGATTTCAAACTTCTGACTTGAGCCACTGAGTTTTCAGTCATTGATTATGGTAGCCTAGGAAGCTACTACAACAAGGTGGTCACCCGGAGGGGACCAAGGAGGGCTTCTGAGTGCTTGTTTCTTGATCTTGGTATATTCAGACTGGGAAAATTCATCGAGCTCAACACTTGTGATGTGTGCCTTTTTCTGTATATATGGAATACCCCAACACACGCAAAAATAATAACAATATGCAGGGGCGCCTGGGTGGCTCAGTCAGTTAAGTGTTCGACTTCGGCTCAGGCCATGATCTCACAGTTCGTGACTTCGAGCCCCACATCGGGCTCTGTGCTGACAGCTCAGAGCCTGAAGCCTGCTTCAGGTTCTGTGTCTCCTTCTCTTTCTGCCCCTGCCCCTCCCCCACTCAACTCTGTGTGTGTGTGTGTGTGCGCGCGCGCGCCTGCACGCGTCTCAAAAAAATGAATAAATGTTTTAAAAGTAATAATAATATGCAGAAATCTCCCAACCCCTCGCCAGAAACCAGATTTGGATTGGGGAGAGGGGAGAAGAGTTCAGGACTGACCTTTGCTGTGCGGCTCTCCAGGGGATCCACTGGCTGGAGTCAGGGTGGGGGACACCAGCACCCCATCCCGGGCCAGGGTTTGTGGCCTCTGCTTGCTCTTGGCGGCTTCGACAGCCTTGAGTTTTCTGGCATGTTTGTGGCCTTTGTAATGTGCTTCAGCTTGGTTCTGGGGAGGGGAGGACTTGGGGTCACCATTTTTTGCTGAGTCCACATGCCCCATCCATGAACTGGCGAGGGGCAGGGGGCAGGTCAGAGGGGACAGGGCTCTGGCCAGACAAGAGGTGAATCCTTGTCATCACAGCATTTGTGTGGCCTTGAGGTTTACAGAACTCATTCTCATACATGAGCCTCCAGGCAAGCAGCCTCTGGCTTCAAATTCTGTCTCAGCCACTTGATGAGCTGTGCATCCCTGGGCAAATCGCCTCACTTCTCTGAGCCTCATTTTGCTGACTTGTAAACTTTGTGATGACAATACTGACCTTGAAGGGTTGTGAGAATTAAAAAGAGAACATGAATGACAGGGGCCTAGTACATACAGCACGTGCTCAACGATGTTAGTTACCAGGTTCATAAATGCACAAATGGAAAAAATAGAGCAGTCCTCATGCTTCGGGTATGTGCACCCCAGAACATTCATCTCTTTGTTCAGTTGTTCAGCAAATAGTTGTTGAGCATTCGCTCTTTGCCAGGCTCTGTGCCAGGAGCCCAGCATGGAGAAGACATGGTCCTTCCCTCAGAGCGAGGTCTTTCTGTCCATCTCTTATAAGGTTCATATAACCTGAAAGCCTGGAGGAAACCCCTGAATCTGGCCTGTTCGTGTCCTCCCCCCTTCACCTAGGGGTCCCTGCTTGTTGCTCTCAAGTATAGGAAAGACAGGCCCCCATGGCCCCTCCCTAGACCTTTTCACCAGAGCAGATCTCTCCAAGCCCCACAGTTGTCCAGAGAGAAGGTAAATCTTCCCTGGGAGGCCAGAATGAGGCTTCTCCACTATCTAGGGGCAGGCTGTGGTAGAAAGTATGTGGGCCTTGGGGTCAGCCAGGCCTGGGCTCAAATCTCAGCTCTGCTACTCACCAGCTGTGTGACCTCGGACAAGTCACTTAACCTCTCTGAGGCTCATTTTCCTCATCTGAAAAGTGGGGATGATAACAGGGCCTCTATCCATCTAACAAGGTGTCATGAGAACTAATTAAGATGATGGGCATGAAAACGTTCAACATGTTAACTGTCAGATGCTTTAAGAACTCAGCTCCAGACTAGGAACTGATGGTGTCCCTTGGGACCCAGAGCAGGAAAGGTCAGTCTTCTCTCTTGCAGAAGGATCCAGGACACAGGAGAGAAGCGGGAGGGAAATGGAATCCCAGGACCACTAGAGAGGGAGGGAAGAGGCAGAGGAATTTGGGGAGAGGAGAGGGTGGGATGGGTAAAGGACCAGGAGTGCCTCTTCTGCACCCAGGGACAGAAAATACGGACCCCAGTCCCTTTGCCGGCCTTATTCCTCCAGGAAAGACCCCGGAAGCCACTGTCCAGCCCCCTCCCTGCCCAGCCTCCTCCCCAATCTGTTTCCACTACTCCCTCTCACCGCTGAGTTGAACCTCAGGTGACAGATGTTACAGGAAATGAAGAGCTTCTTCTTCAGAGGGGAGGGGACCCCAAACGTGTGGCTGATGACAGCTTTCTGGATTGGGTCCATCTGTGAAGGGGGTGGGAGGGCACAATAACTCTGGGGTCGGCTTGGTGGGGGGAGGGGGCAGTGCAAAATGCCAAAAACTAGAGACTATTGAGGAGGGCAGGAATCAGGCCGTAGGAAGAACTTCCCCATCCTTGTGGATAGGACACACACAAACGATCTCTTCCCCGGGTTTCTGCTTGGAGGCAGTGGGATGGCCAGGGTGGCCTCCATGATCGGGAGAAACAGAACCATGTCCTGGTGATCACCTTGGCATCTCTTGCAGCCCCTCTGGTCTCGGGATGGTTGTTGTTGTTGTTTTCCTCATTCACAAGAATCACAACTATTGGGACAGAGTTAGAGGCAGGGAGAAGCAGGGAAGGGACAAAGGGTCTTCTGTTGGAAATCCTGTCCCACAACCCAGCTTTGCGCTGGGCCCATGGGCTGGGACAGAGAAGGCTGATCTCATCAGCTCTGCCACTGTCACAGGGCCTGAGAGCAGGGCTGGGGCAGGTGGGGGGCCGGGAAAGGACAGGCAGCAGCACATGGAGGCCAGAAGGTTCCCCGAGCAGCAGGATCATTTCTTTGGAACATTAATTTATGTGGTTTCTTTTTCCCTTTTCCTTATTTTAACTATTTTTTTTTTTCTCTCCTATCAAACCAAGCCTTCCTGTTCCCTTTTCTCAGGGCCTGGCTTGTTGGGCCAACAGCAGAAGTGGTCTCGGCTTGCTTATCAAGAGGAACTTTCTCAACCTTCCTGAGAGAAGAGAACAGAGGCTTTGAGAAAAAAGCATGCCTTCAGAAACTTTCCTGAGAACAGAAAGAGGTTCTAACCCTCACCTAACAGCACCGAGGGCTGGGGGCAGGCAGAGGACAGGAGAATGGCCAGCAGGGCCCCCAGGGAGGAGGGCGACAGAAACTTTACCCACTCCCAAGGGACTGTGTGCATGAGCAGTGAGTGTGTCAGCAAGTGACAGAGGGGACTGAAGAACAGGGGACCCTCCCCAAAGGACTCAGGCTCCTTCAGATCTCTGTGTGACCTTGGAGGTTGGAAAGGGGCTCCAAAGAGTGACTGAGACTGAATTTCCCACCATCTTGTCAGGGCTCCTTGATGATTACATTTGATTTTCCAGAATTAAACAAAGCAGGGAGTTACTCCTTATCACTCATGGAGTGAAGTAAAATTCATGCTCCCTACACTTTCATTCACACACATGCACACATGGAAATACACAGACTGGTATACACACACATAGCACATAAGCCTACGGGCAGTCACAAATCACAGAACCATGCAGAAAGATACACACTCACATGCATACGAATGGCACACTTGCATAGACACACAATCACCCAAACCACACAAACACACACACGCTCAGAGGTCACACACATCAAACACATACAGAGTTGACACAAAGACACAAAAATATCTCTCAGATACACAGGCATACACATTAATTACATACAAGGACCCAGGCACAAAGAGATGTTTACAAACACACACACTCACACACACACACACACACACACACATTCACAACCACAAGGAACACACAAAGACCCACAGACACATAAACTAAAATAGAAGGGCATACCCCAAATGCACACAGACGTACACAGATCACCCATAGATGTCCCTATACAAAAATTCAAGTATAACCTACAGACGACAGGCCCAGCAGGTGTTACTGGAACCATCCTCATTCCCTGGCCTAAGGAAAAGCTGGGCCAGGGGTCCCCATTTGGGGGGCACCTAGTCACTCTTGGGGATGTCGTTTGTACTTATACCCAGTTTCTGAGAGCCAGCCCCTCTGAACCCACCTTCCCTGCCCACCCCAAGCTTGGCCGCATGCCCCCACCCGCCAGCCCAGCCCGTACCGTGCTGAAGTTGGGGGTGAGACTGAGCGGGGTGGCGCCATTGAAGTGGAAGGCGAGCAAGTGCTTGAAGTCCAGCGGGGGCTGCAGAGGCCTGGCAGGCAGGGGCAGGGAGGCCAGCAGGGGGCTGGGGGCGCTGGAGGCCGGGCCTGCTGCAGGAGGAAGAAGGGCAGGGTCTGAAATGGGGAGCCACGGGGCTCACATCTACCTCCACAGCCAGAAAAAGAGGCGGATGGGCTTCTCGGGTGTGGAGCTGGGGCAGAAACTCCTGTCTCCCTCTTCACAAAGTAGCACTGGCTAAGCCCAGGGCAATTACCGCCCATTTCTGTGCCTCTCCTCTCCACAACCGGAGGAGCAGAAGCCCACAGTTTGTGGTTCCCAGTCCAGGAGGATGCCCCTCCCATCCCCTATAGAGGTAGCAGAAGTACCCCATGAATCCCAGGCCAGAGGAGTCCTGACACACACACAGCACCATGGAGACTGCGAGATGCACTGGGTTTCCAGTTTATTGCAAGTTAAACCCAAACCCCTCTCACTAATGCCCACACAGTCACAGCAAGGCTGACAGAGGGGATGGGAAACCCATTGGAATCTGAAGGGATGTGTCCTCCCCCCCCCCCCCCCCCCCAGCTCTGGCGAGGCCCCAACTCCTTCTCCCCAGAGGCAAAAAGCCCTCCAGCTCCTGGGTGTGGCCCGAGGCTGGTCCTCAGAGTTGGCCCTTCCAGCCCTGTGGTTTTACAGTCTTTGGTCTTAAAGGTCTGAGGCAAGGGTGGGGGAAGGCTCAGAACTTTGGGGAGCAACCAGACTTTGAGGAAGAAAAACATTAGAAATAAATGCAGTCCGTTGAAACTTTTCTGGACTCTGTCATTGCAAAGCCGGAAGAAGTCCTTTTCGATTTTTTGTGTGTTAACGATATGCAAGATAGATTTATTTTACATTTGTAGATGTGTATATCTATATACACAGCCACATATAAGCAGCCTACCAGTGGGTGGGGAGGTAGGGCACCACCCCCACCTCCCTTGAACTGGTAGCTTGTGCACAGGGAGGGTGCTGTGCTGTGTCGACACCAAGGAAGTCATCTGCCGTCTAGTCCTATCTGAAGAGAAGAGATGCTGCCAGGCAGGGAGCTAACAGCCAAGGACCCATTCCCCTTTCCCTCAATCCCTCAGACCCAGTCTTCCTTTCTCCCTCCAACCAAGACTCCTCAGCTTTTCTATGGCCCAAACCTGGGCTGGGTCCAGAGGGAAAATGGTGAGCTACTCCTCCCCAAACTCTGGCAAGGGCAGGAGTGATACTGAGGGTGTCCCCAAACCCAGCATCTCCGTGGGCTCGCCCAGGACCCCCTCGACACAGCCCTTCCTCCAGAGCCCACGGGGCTGGGTTAGTACTCAGCGTGGAGCGGAGGAAGCACGGGGCAGGTGGCTGGAAGGCCACAGTTAGGGGGTCAGCTTGGGTGCAGCACGGTCACCTAGAGTCTGTCTTGGCCCCTAGAGTGCTCAGGGCCCCAGGCTGTCTGGGCGGAGGGAAGGGGGCCGCCCTCACGTGAGCTGTGACCCCAGAAGCCCCTCCGCCCACCCACTCTCCAAGAACTCCACGGCGAGTGCAAAGTCAAACTCGTGCAGCGGGGGCCCATCCACGGCGATCTTCACCGCCGGGCCGCCCCGGCCTGCCCCTGCCCCGCTCTGCCCCCACCACCGCAGCTCCCGGCTGCGGCCCACCTTTTCCAGGAGGCCGGCGCCCGCGGGCAGCGCCAAGGCCAGGGCGGCAAGGGCGGCGAAGTCCGGGAAGAGCTCGTGCAGCTCGGAGCGCGCGCAGGCCAGCTTGGCGCACAAGGCCCGCGGGCCCAGCCGCCCGAGGCTGCACACCACGCGCTTGAAGAGCGCGAAGTCGCCCAGCGCCCTCTGGCGCACCACGGCGGGGGCGAAGGCGCGCAGCAGCACCCGCAGTGCCCCCTCGCCGTGCGCGCCCAGCTCCTCGGGGGCCTGCGGGTAGCCGCGCGAGTCGAAGATCGCCGCGAAGGCGGCCACGGCGTCCAGCGAGGGCCCGGGGTAGGAGTCCCGCAGCCCCCGCCGCATGGAGTCTAGGAAGGCCCCCCGCAGCCGCTGCAAGCCCCGCACCGCAGCCTCGGAGTAGCCGACCAGCTCCACGCCGCGGTAGGTGCAGCGCCCACCGCCCAAGTCAGAGCTGGAGGACGCCAACTCCTGCAGGAAGCCCTGGAGGCGCGCCCCACCCGAGCTGCGCAGGGCTTGGAGGGAGGCTGCGGCTGCCATCACCAGGGGTTGCAACAAGGCCAAGTCCGGCTCTTCAGGCTGCAGGACAAGGGTGAGCTTCTGCATGGATGGCAGAGTGTCCAGCAGCAGGTGGGTGAAGGCCACGAAGGTGAACTGGCGCAGGGCGAGGGCCAGTGCCCTGGCTGTAGGGGAGGCTGGAGCAGAGGCCTCCAGTGTGGGCACCAGGCAAGGCCAAGCCTCAGCCACTGCTTCCACGATAGGCAGCAAGGAGGCCCAGGGCACTGGCCGCGGTCCTGCCAAGTCAATAGCTGCAAGGTCCAGTGCTGCCCGCAGCTCAGGGACCATGTGAGAACTGGGGCCACCATGGAGGCGGAATAGGGCATCCAGCACACTTTCATATTCGCTTAGGTAGGCAGGGGGCTCGGGATCTGTCCGGCCAGGGAGGCAGTGTAGTTCGGTGAGCAGCGGGCAGGCGGCCCGGAGTTGTGGGCCCACACGCCCAAGGCGGTCACTGGGGAGGCTCGAGCTGAGCCAGGCCAGCTTGGGTGCAGACACGCCGAAGGCCTGCAGGATGTCCAGGAGTTGGCCAGCGGTGGCCTCACCCTCCTGTAGCTCCACACTGCCCAGGAAGGTGGTAGCAGGCTGGCCATCACAGGGGGACACCGAAGTGGCAAACAAGGCCAGACTGTGGGACTCGGGCCAGTCCCTGGTCTCGTCCAACACCAGCCCCACATATGGGGATGCCTTCAGGCGCTGGCAGGCCTCTGTGTGCAAGACACTGGCAATGGCCACCTGGGACAGCCAGGGAGAGAAAGGAAGGGACAGAGTTAGGCTCCTCCTGCAAAGGGGAGGCAGCAGTACTGGGGAAAGAAAGGGCACAGACCTTGGGGGCAGACAGACCAATCCTAGCTTTGCATCTTACTGGCTGTGTGATCTTGGGCAAGTTATTTCACCTCTCTGAGCCTCAGTTTCCTCAGCTCTGAAATCAGGCCACTGCCTGCCTCTAAGCTCTTAAAAGGTTGCTATCAATTGGGGCGCCTGGGTGGCTCAGTCAGTTAGGCGTCCGACTTTGGCTCAGGCCACGATCTCCTGGTTTGCCAGTTCGAGCCCTGCGTCAGGTTCTGTGCTGATAGCTCAGACCCTGGAGTCTGCTCCAGATTCTGTGTCTCCCACTCTCTCCGCCCCTCCCCTGCTCATGCTCTCTCTCTCAAAAATGAATAATTAAAAAAAAGGGTTGTCGGCAATTACAAATGTTGCTGTGCTTGTAAGTGTAAAAATGCTTTAGGAACCATAAAGATTCTATAGCATTTCATGTGTGCTTTTATGGCATTGCCCTAGTCCGCCTTATTCCTGGGAGTCTCCCTCCACTCTGCTGCTCAGGGATTAACTGATAGACATGTTCCCTCCCAGTTACATAGAACCCCAACTGTGTGCTCCGTTTGTCTGTCTGTCATCGATCACTCTGTAGGATGAGATCGAACTCTCCCACCCTCACCCCAGCCCCTAGGACTCACACAACTGGTACCTAGGACAGAGCTGCAACTCGCATGCCCCCTGGGGCCACATGGGCGGTACTGGGCTTGAAGTGGGCCAGGGATACACCAAAGGGAATGGCGAAGCCCCGGGTCTGCTCTTCATGCCCCGAGAACATAGGGACCTAGCTTTTCAGAAGTCACAAATCCACATTTTTATGTGTAATCTCTCACTTTTTCTTTCTTTTTTTTTTTTAACTTGGAAATTAACTTAGGTTTTCCAAAAGCACTGTGAAAATCAACAAAATGTATCTGTGGGCCGATCGAGGCTCCAGGCTTGCAACCTCTGGCCTAGACAGCGAGGGAAAACCTCTGTGCCCCTGAGGACAGGGCCTGGTCTGGCCTCTTCCAAGCCGTGCCCCCAGCAGCTGGCCCAGGGCCTGGCACATGATACGCCTCAGTGAAAGGTTCTGCTGGGTGAAGGTATGAATGAAGCGTTCTGGCTGTTGCCCGGGGGCCTGGCATGCTGGCGCTGTGCCCAGACAGCTCCATGTCCTCCCTCCTCGAGCCCTCCCCCACACCTCTGGCTGCCACCCACCTGCATGTCCCTCACCCTCCTGGGGCTGTAGTAATCGCCATGCTCCGTGCCCAGCAGCGCCTGGCACAGGTTGAACCTCTGCAGCTCAAGCAGGGCAGAGCAGCGGTCGTCGGGCACGTCCTCCTTGGCCATGCAGTACACCGTGGTCAGCACCGCCACTTTGGCCGGGTCCACCTCCACCTTGACGCCCGTGGGGGTGGGGGTGGTGGCCAGGTCTGGGTAGGCCCCTCCTCCCTCAGCTTGGCCCTCAAAAGTGGGCTGGCCCCGGTTGACAGCCAGAGCCTGGCGGTGAGCCCCCGAGGTCACGTGGCGCAGCAGGGCGTGGCGCTGGAAGTTGTCGGTGCCCACGGTGAAGGCGTTCTCGGCTTTGCCGTGCTTGTTCCGCACCAGGGCCTGGCGGCACTCGAGACAAAACATCAGCTTCCGCTCGTAGTCGAAGTCCAGCCAGGGGAACTCCTCTTTCCAGTGCTCGTTAAAGTAACGCTTGCATTTTTTGTTGGAGTTGGAGGCCTCTCCGGCTGGTTTCTTCCCCGGGGGTACCATTCCTGCTCAAGGGGCAGGGCACCCCCGACCCCACCCAAATGCTCTGGTCCCCCAGGCTCCCCCCACACACGGCAGCACCTCCCTTGACAATGGAAATTGTGGGGGGAGGAGGGGAGCAGCGCGCCAGGCTAATGGGGACCATCCATCTAACTTAGCTGGGAACGGTTATTCCCGCTCTGCCGGTGGGAGACTGGAGATGAAAGAGACAAGGGAGAGGCGTTAGGGGGTCCGCGGTGGGTTCATGCTGCCCACAGAGCACTCCCCAGCTGACGGGTGGACTGCACCTAATGGGGAAGGGCTATTGGGAATGGGTGGGGTCATGCAAAGGGCCATAGAATGTTATCCAAAGTGGGGGAGGTTTGGGGGTCCCCAGCCCACTCTGAGGGTCTCCCTCCATCCAGGACAAGGCACTGGCTAACTTTGACTGCTGGAACATGTCAGAACTCAGCTCTGAAAAGATTGGCATCATCTATGCAACCACATTTTATAGGTGAGGGCACTGAGTCCAGGTGACAGCGGTTCTCAGGGCCCATGAATAATTCGTGACTGAGCCAGGACTCCAACTCAGACCTTGACTCCTCACTCAAGAGGATGGCCAGTCTCTCCAGTCCACCATCGCTTATTTCATCAGAAGGAAGTTAGCACAAAGCTGAGCTCCCGGAGTCACAGCACCAAGGAATGTCCTTTGTTTTCACTGGACCTCCCTTCCCTGAACGTTCACATGGGCGCACTCACACTTACACACACTCCCTGATAGTGGGGTTCTGGGAAGGGAAGCCCAGAAGTGGGGGCCAGACCCCAGACCAAAGGAGCTAGCTGCTTGCCTGTACCTCGCTCATGCTTCCATCGCCCCAGGCACGATGACAGGTGAGCCGTTCAGGACCAGAAGGCCACGTCCAGCCAGCGGCCAAAACCAGCCAACTTCCTAACTGTCCTTCGACCCTGTCCCCACCTCTCCACGCCTACTAATAACAACAGCAGTAACTACCATTTGGCAAATGTGAACTTCATCGGGCCTTGTGCTAAGGACTTTACAGTGACTCCATGAGAAAGCCAAGATTCCTCTTTCAAGTACTCTGAGGGTGGTATCATCCTCATTTTGAAGAGGAGGAAACCGAGGCTGGGGACTTCAGGTGATTTGCCCAGGGTTCCACGAGCAGTAAGTTAGAGTAAGGCTGAGGCAGAGTTAGAATCTAAGCCCTCCTTATAAAAACAGGGAGGGGGGCAAAACAGAAGAGACTCATAAATATGGAGAACAAACTGAGGGTTACTGGAGGGGTGGTGGGAGGGGGGATGGGCTAAATGGGTCAGGGGCACTAAGGAGTCTACTCCTGAAATCACTGTTGCACTAGATGCTAATTTGGATGTACATTTTAAAAAATAAAAAATTAAATTAAAAAAATAATAAAGTAACTAAAAAAAAAAAAAAAAAAAAAAAAGAATCTAAGTCGTCCTGACCCCAAAGGCCATGCTGAGACTCTGGTGACACCTGGATGATACATCTGCCTCCACCTCTGCAGGCATGCCCCCAGATTCGTCCCTTGCCTAGCAGCCAGAGGGCGAGCTCAGACACAGATCCCTCTCTCGCTTCCACCTCTTCAGTGGCGTCCTAAATGGTTGCCTGAGTCTACACACCTCACCATGAGCCAGCGGGGCCCTCCCCAGCCTCCCACCGCTCCTGTCTGCTGGGCCAGCAGCTCCAAAGGCTTACCATTCCCCCCACACACCCAGCTGTTACTTTGCTCCTGCCTCCATCCTCTGTGCCTGGAGTTTCCTATCCCTCCCTATTCCCTGGCTAATCTCCATTCATTCCTGGAGAGCAGTTCTGCATCCCCTCTGCCACCCTGCCCTCCCCTGCCCCCAGCCGGGGCTGGTGCCTAGCCTGTAGCTTCCCATAATTCTCTGCGCATGGGTCTTGGTGATACAATACGGTAAACTCAGGGACTCTCTGTGTATCTCTGCACTTGGTTCCCAGAAGGCTAAGATCACATTTGTTCAGTTTGGGATTCCTAAGTCCCTGGGCATGCACGGCTGGGCATCCAGATGCCTTTCAGCACAAGTTTGTTGTTTAAAAGACTAAAACGATTTACTTGGGCCCTGTGAAAGAACCTCATGTGTCTGAGGCTATGGGTTAGATGATTCTGGGCTCCAAGAAAGTGGTGACTGTCTTGTCCTCCAGATATACCCAGCACCCTGCAATGGAACCTAGCATTTAACGGGTAAGTACAAGGGCAGATGAGCAGAATCCCAGGGGTAGCCTGTTCAGTGCAAGGGAAGGTGCTCTCTGTTGCTACGTGTGGTGAAATTCATCAGTTCTCTCCCCCTAGACTGCTCACCCTACCCTCTTTGAAACATGCTTTTCTCTTGGCTTCCAAGACTCTATGTCCCCTGGGTTTCCTTTCCCCCATCAGCACTCCTCCACTTCTGATGACACTTCCTCCTCCTCTTCCTAACCTAAAACCATCCAAAAAGTTCAGAACCATCCTTGCCAGTCACCCTGAAATAAACAAGCCTAGCCTGAGCCATTCCTCTGGGCGCCATACCTCTCCATCAAACCACATTCCTGGCTCGTCTAGATGGAATTGTCAATCTGTCTTCTCCCAGTCAGCCCAGCTCAGGAAATACCTGCTCTCCTACCCAGGTGCTGTGGCCAGAAACCTGCCCCTTCAGCCCCTGCTCTCTTCCACATTCTGGACCCAGTCTATCCACAGGTGCTGTCACTTCCACCTCCACAACCAGCTTCTCACTTGTCTCTTCTCTCCGCTGCCACCAGCCTCATCCAGGGCACCTGCATCTCCTGCCTGGACTACAGCAGTCATTTTCTGACGGCACTCTGGGTTTCCACACACTCTTAACCCTCTCTGAGCCATCTGGACCTATAGCAGCTGAAGGGGCTTTTTAAAACATACTGCCTAAAACCCTCTATGACCTCTTGCTCTCTGAGGCCAATGCCAGGATCCCTTTCGAGGTCTGCCAAATGTCCAGGCATTGCTGACCTCTCTGGTGGCCACTTGTGCCTCTCTTCCCTTCCAGCTACATCCCTCAGTTCCTCCAGGGTGCCAGGTTCCCATCCCCAGGGCCTTTGCGTACCTTCTTCCAGAATGTTTCTATCCTCCCTTCTCAATACTTTGCCTGTTTCACTTCCTCTCTGGTCTTAGTTTAGTTGTCGCCTCTTCCCAGGAGACTTCTCTATCCCTTCCCAGGGGGTCGCCTTCTTTTCTGTTGCTGCTTCCTGTTTGTTTCCTCTATTGTACTCCCCACAGTTTACAAATCTGCTTATTTTCCCTGCATTTCTGTTGCTTGGCATCCTGGGGGGGGGGCGCCCCCACTCTCTCTGTCTCCCTCTCAAGAATGCAGGCTTCCTGAGGGCAGGAAACATAACCAACTTGTTCACATCTGGACCCCAGAGAAGGGAGCACTGCCTGGCACCCAGCAGGTGCTCCACAAAATTTCAAGAGTGAATGAGTAAGGAAGCACCAGCTTTGGGGCAGAGAGAACAATGGAGTGAAGCCTTGGGTACCTCTTGGGTGGCTAAAACAGCTGCCTTTGACCTCTCTTCCTCCTAAGATCCCATGATTCTGTGTGACCCTATCCAGCCTACCACCCAAGGGATCTTAGGATGGGGAAGAGGTGCAAGTCCAAGGTGGTACCCTTCCAAAGTTTGTCAAGTCCCTTCCATATACCTAGAAACTAGCTATCCTGTCCCATTCTGCAGAGGGATAAAGTTACTAGGGGACCTGGGATGTTTTTGATAAAGGAACAAAAGATTGGTAGGGAGGAAGCATGGGAAGATGGATTCCAAAACTGCTCTGTCAGATATGGTAGCAATAGTCACATGTGGCTGCTCATCAGAATTAGATAAACATTTTAGAATTCAATTCCTCAGTCTCACTAGCCACATTTCAAGTTCTCAATAGCCACACGTGGCTACTGGCTATCGTATTAAATGGCCCGGACAGAGAACATTTACTTCATCCCAGAAAGTTCTACTGGACAGTGCTGCTCGAGAGCAACTCAGCCAAAGCATTGGCATTCCCCTCCCTACCTCAACCTGAAGGAACCAGGCTGGATGGGGTGGAGTGTAAATCAAATGTGACTATATGACCAAAGCTGACCAAGGGTGCGCACCTGTCAGACCCAGGTCCCTCACACCTCTCTCTCCACGCCCTGGCCACCTGGGCGTGAGCTGGCACAACTTGTGGGGCCCCTGGGGTGACTGTGTGTTGTTCTGCAGTCCCCATTCCACCCTGGCAGGTCAGCCTCAAACACGGTGCTCACCTGGCCCCAGGATGGCAGTCCCCAGCCTCCTCCCTAGTCCCCTCTGGGCCCCTTCCCTTCGGGAGCCCCTAGGAAGGTCCACGCTCAAGGCGGAGGACAGGCGAGGTAGGGGCTCTCTGCTCACCCTGGGCCGGACACGGAGGGCTGGGGAACTTCCTCTGGGGGGCGCGTGGTGGGGGAGTTCCCCTCCCCCTCCCCGCCTCCCCCCCTCCTGCTGCCCCGCCCGCAGGGCCCCCACCCGTCTCCCGCCCCCTGCCGCGAAGCTCCTGGAGGGGGCGCCCCGCCCGGCCCGGCCACCGTGCCCGCCGCACACACTCACGGAGACTCGGGAGCCACCATCTTGCGCGGTGGACGCTCTGGCCGCGGTCTCCTTGGGCTCCACTGAGCGACAGCAGCCACTAGCGGTAACCGGGGCGAAGAGGCGCCAGCAGCCGGCGAGGGCCGGGGTGGCGGGCCGGGTGGCGGCGCCCCGGGGCTCACCTGCCCCGGCTGTCGCCCAGCGCGCGCGCTCGACCTCCTCCGCTGCGGGCGCTGCAGCCGGAGCGACGGAGGCGAGACCTCAGGAAAGGTGTCCCGCCAGCGGGAGGGACAGAGTCATTCATTCATCACGTGCACCGGTCAGTTCTTAGAGGAGCTCACAGGCGAGAGCCAAGCAGGGCGCTAGGGAGGCACCAGCAAAATGCTTTGGGATCACACAGGAGCGCGTGGAAAGCCGTAGGTCTGCGGGGGAGAGTCTATTAGGTTTCACTGCAGGAAAAGTGAAGTTTCACCCGGACAGGGGCATCCCAGGCAGTGGGTGGGCCTGGCCCAAGCTGAAAGTGCAGGGCAGGTTCACGAAGTCACGGCAGAGTGGAGGTGTGGAGGGGAGGGGGCGGTGCCTGCGGCTGGAAGGCTCTGCAGTGAATACTGGGGATTTTGACCTTCAGGCCTTGTGGGGAACCTCCGGAGGTGTTGGAGCTGGGAGCTCAATCTTTAATCTAATGAGTTATTTGTAATGGGGATGCCAGAAGGGGAGGGCTGGTGGAGAGAGGAGGGGCCTCTTCCTAGAATTCTCAGACGCACAGAAGCCCCTCACCCCTATGTGGGTTCCCAGGGGAGGGGAGGAGAAGGTGGAGGAATGTGGAATTGTGGCAGACCATCCCTCCCAGACCTGCAGTCCAGAGGCCTGCACTGGAGTTCCAGAGACATTGAACTCTGAGGCCTTGGGCTGTACACTTAGTCTATGAGCCTGTTTCCTCATCTGTGAAGTGGGAATTATGGCTGGGTGAGGAGGAAAGGGCAGGACAGGAATGGGTCTGAGGAACAAAGGAACTAGGTGTGGAGGCGATTTGAAGAAGGGGTGCCAGGGCACTTGGTGATTTAGTCTCTCCCTCCAGTCAACACAGTCACCCAGAAATGCCTATCAGACCCTCCTCCCAACCGGGTACACTTTTCTCCCACACAAGGCCTAGGGCACATGTTGATTTGAGGTCAGGACCTCTCCGGTGGCGTCTGGGTACTCCCCCAGCACCCTTCCCACATCGCTCCTCTGTGCCACCCACCGTCTGCTGCTGACATTCACAGTGAACCCTGGCCCCCAGGGCCGCTGGGATGATGCATGAGTCATGTCACATGCACACACATGTGACCGCCTGGCTGTGGGTACGCTCAAATGAAGGGAGACACTGCAGACCCCAAGGCTGCCCCAGGATAGCACCACACAGCCTGGCACCCACGATAGGGTCAGATATGTGTGTGCGAGGGGGAGGGGAGGTCGTCTGTGATGGTCTTTTGCAGCAGAACACCCTCGCTAAGCCCCTCTCCACCCAACCCTAGCCAGAGGTCCACGGCTGGGACCCACGGCTCATTGGACGGCTGCCTCAAGAGGGTGGGTTATTGCTCTGGTCAAATACAAACAAACTGAGTGGCAAAGAAGAGGCCACCCCTGGGGGTCCACCTGAGGCCGAGGCAGGGGCACAGAGCAGGTGTCTTATGAAATAACATCACTCTGGCTGCCACCCAAGGGAGAAGGTCTGGGCAAACCACATCCTGCTGTTTTGCCATCACTTGGAAAGATACACAGAAGAGCACAGGGACTCACACCCTGAGATCCGTGGGCGCCCACAGAGATGGCGATAGGCACAAACACCACGCACACACTTACACACTTACACACATCTCCTCATGATGAGTCCATCTTGGCACACTGAGGTGTGCCCGTACAGAGGTGGTACCACGCAGGGATGGCCAGATACCCAGGCTGGCGGGGGGCAAAGGCAGACCCAGAGGCCACACACAAGCATGCACGTGCACACAGACAGGCAAGATCAACAAAGACACAGTCAGACCGCATATACCCAGAGAGACAGACATACGAGGACACCCAGACCCCTACTAAGGGATATGCACATACTAGGAAACCACAGGCAGGCAGAGGCAGGTATCGTTACAAAGAGATACATATATACGAAGATCCATATACAGACACATTTACCCAGAGGTAGGTGCCTGGCGCACACCCTCCCTTACAAAATTAAATGCATCAGACATGGACACAAGCTCATGTAGCCAAACTCAGATTCTCTCTCTCTCGCCTCACCACAATTCATAGGGGCAGATGAGAGGGTCCTCCCTGAGGTGGTACATACATACATACACACACACACACACACACACACGCACGCACGCACGCGCACGCACACACACACACACCCTCAAATAGTGAAGCTACCCTTCCTATCATAGATGAAACCAAAAACTCTGTGAAGAAAATGGGAGGGAGGGAGAGTCAAAGGCAGGGAAGGGGGGGGAGGGGAGGGAAGATTGATCCAACATCTCCTGCCTGCCCACTCCCCTGTAGGCTTAGGATTCCCACCCCAGCCACATTCTCTAGAGCCCCCAGCCACTTCTGGGTCACCCAGCACCTGGGATGGGACGTGTTGATGTTCCAGACTTTCCCCTCTCCCCAGGCTGGAGGAAGACCCCAAGGCCAGTCACAAGAGCTCTGCCCCAGCCCCACAGCCTCCAGCCCTTGCCCCGTGGAAGGGGTTCCCCAAAATACTCCTTAAAACATAATGGCTGTCTCCCTCAGTGTGCCAGACAACCCCTGTGTGGAGAGGTGAGCTAGGAGACCATAGATAAAGGTGGGGGGCAGCACAGTGACCCCAGCACGGTGGCTGGACCTCAGTTAGGAGCCACTCAGATTTCTGCCTGTCTCTCTGTCCACTTCTCTCTCTCTGCTGAATTAATAACTCTCTTTTCAACACCCCTCCCCACCCCCAGCACACACACAACCCTCCTTGGAGGCTCCTGGCAGCCCCTTGGAGGCAGCAGAAGGTATGATTTGATACAAGGAACCTCTGGCACAGGCTTCCTGAACATGCATCTGCCCCAAAGTGTCGCTCACCTCCCTCCTGCAGGGAACACCTCCAGTTTCTGAGCTGGCCCTGCCCGCCACCCCCACCCCTGCCTTTGTTCCCAGCCGGAATGCCCCCCCCCCCCAGCCCTGGACCTGGGAAAAGGTACCAAGAGTCAACTGGCTCCCAGAATCTTTCGACAGCCAACTTTTGGGGGCCAGCAGTAGCAGGAAGAGGATAGGGCAGATAGAGGAGAGACCCACCCTTGTCTGAGCCCCCTCCCCACACTCCGGCATCCTCAGCACTCACCCAAGAGCATTTTCTGCCTTCGGAGGCACCGCAGAGCGCGCCGTCTGAGGAGCAAATGAAACCAGCCAGAGAGTGACAGAGGGAAGGGGTGGGGATGTGAGGGACAGGAGGGGAGGGCGGAGGGAGGGACTCCTGTTGCCGCTGGAAAGCAGTGGGTGCAGGGCCCTTTCTCCCTTTGCCTGGAAGGAGCTGCCTGTTCCCTAGTTTCTCCCATCCTGACCAGGGTGGAAAGCACAGGACACTTCCTGCCCCCACGGTGGGATATGGGGCAAATGTGGGGACAAGGGACAGAGTTGACCCTGCCCATACAGACCTCCAGAAAGGAGATTCTGCCAGCCACTTCTCAGCCTGCCAGAAAGTTCTTGCTGGACTTTGAAGCCTTGCCTCAGGGCTTGCTGCTACAGGAGCCCCCATTCTCCTGTCCAGCCTCACTCATCCTCTCCCCACCGTCCCCTTACATTGGCCTCCTTTTGCTGAAGGGGAAACTGAGGCCCAATTTCATCCCAGAGCATTGGCCATGGAGGTTGGGGAAGGGAGCGCAGGCAGCTTGCCCCTCTTAGTCCAGTACCTGGACCATTGGACCTGCTCCCTGGGCAATGCCAGGTGGGGTGGGGCATGGTCATCTGATCAGCTAGAACTTCTGACACCCCTCCCCTGCCCATACCCTTCCCTACCCCTCAGTCTCTGTCTCTCCATTTGCTCCCTCCTCCCCCTCCTCTTCCTGACTGAGGGCCAGCTGTCTACTCACCTGGGCACCTGGTGGCTGGGAGGGGGCGGAATGGGGGAGAGAAGGCAGCCAACCCCACAGCTGGATCCAGTCTGGCATTCCAAGCCCAGTCCCAGCGCTAGCCCCCCACCCCCTCAGCGTCCTGTCTCCGCCAGACAATAACCTGTAATCTCTGGAGCAGCCAGTACAGCCGGCAAAGGGTCTGGGGAGGGGTTGGCGGCAGCAGCTCCCGAAAACAGGTTTGTTAGGAAGAGGCTCTAGGGGGAAGGAGTTGCTTGTTTGGGGAGCGGAAGGAAACTCAAGCCCAGAGCTAATTAACCCACCCAGACACAGACAGAATCTTTGTCTTCTTGAGAGCAGGGATCTGAGCTAAGCCCCCTAATTCTCCACCCAGACAACCTTGCATTTCCTGGTGGTCCCTGTGGGGGGGGGGGGGAGGGAGGAAGTGTCCGATGGTCAGGTTCACACCTGGGGGAGGGGGATGTGATGGCTGTCCAGGGACAGCAAGGGGCACTTCTATCACCTGCCATTTAAGGAGAACAGCAGCAGGAGGTAGTGGTTAGACTGCAAGAAGAACTTCCCAGTGGCCTTGGGGGAGCACAGTTTCTCTGAAACATGTACCCAAAGGCCTCGGGATGGGTTGGGGGCACTGAGGAGGAATCGGCAGCCCAGGGAGATACTGAAGCGATGGGGGCACAGGCTGGAGGGCTTCCGGGGCTTCCTGATGGGACTGAAATTAATCCATCTGCGGGGAATGGGGGGTGCGGAGCTCATCAAGCCGGCGACTCAGGCGTGACCTGAGTTCAAGGTCTTTGATCTCTGAGGCTCCGAATGCAGCAAGAGGCTTGTGCAAAGAATCGGAGAAGAGATGGAAGGTCTGATTAGAGCAGGAGCTGGGGGAGGTCTCAGGGTGCAGGGCAGGGGACAGCCTCCGCCTGCCACTCTGATCCCTCCCTGCCCCCAAAGACACAGCGTCTATGCCCTGAAATCCATTATAGTCTGAGTTCATCTCTTGTTCTCCTGTCCCCCTTAGTGTCTACCCTGCACTCCCCACTCAAGGCCCCCCCTGGCCTGTCTGGAACTTAAGTGATTTCTGAAATCCCCTCCTCTCTGCTCTGGTGTCATATTGCAGTCCTCACGGTGGACCTGGGGGTGGGCCCTGAATTGTATGGCTGGGTCAGTCCTGCCAAGAGAAGGGAGGGATGGATTGGCCTTGGGAGGCTCCCCTCCCCTCCCCAGCTGGGCGAGGCCAAGGAGGAGTTGGCTGGCATCTCCCCATTTTTCAGTGGAGGATACCAAGGCACAGGGCAGAGGAGAGGCCATGGGTTCTAAGCACCGTGGAGTCATCTGGGAGCCAGTCCACCTTCTCTGGACATCCCTTCTCCTCATTCCTAAAATATTAAGGCTCAATATCTTTTATTTTTACTTATTTCTAATTTTTTTAAATGTTTGTTTATTTTTGAGACAGAGACAAGAGCGTGAACAGGGGAGGGGCAGAGAGAGAGGGAGACACAGAATCTGAAACAGGCTCCAGGCTCTGAGCTGTCAGCACAGAGCCCGACACGGGGCTCAAACCCATGAACTGGGATCATGACCTGAGCTGAAGTCGGACGCTTAACCGACTGAGCCACCCAGGCACCCCTAGGCCCAATATCTTTTAATAAGTGCTGCTCTCCTCAGCAGCAAAGTGGGTAGGGTGAGTGGGTCAGACATGCTAGGATCTGAACCCAGCTGGGTATGTTGCTTAAACACCCTAAGCTCCAATATCCAATGTAGAGTGAGGACTGGGGCACCTGGGTGGCTCAGTTGGTTGAGCGTCTGACCCTCGGTTTTGGCTCAGGTCATGATCCCAGGGTTGTAGGATCGAGCCCCGTGTCAGGCTCTGTGCTGAGCGTGGAGCCTGCTTAAGATTCTCTCTCCCTCTGCCCATCCCCTACTCGTGCTCTCTCTCAAACAAACAAACAAACAAACAAACAAACAAACAGATAAATAAAGTGAGGGCTGAATGCCATCATCTACTCCTGGCTTGCCTGGGTGAGGAGGGAATGCCTTGCTGCACGTGGCAGTGCTTTCCAAACAGCTCAGGTCCTAAGTAGATGCTTACGTGTTCCCTGTGCCAGCCCAACATCCACACTAGAGGTTGGAACTAAGAGGATTGAGCCGGCAAACCTTTCCGTGGATGTTCAGGAACCACCTAACGTTGTTTAGAGGCGTGTGTGTGTGTGTGTGTGTGTGTGTGTGCGCGCGCGCGTGTGTGTGTGATGGTCAGTAGGGTCACTGAGTTCAGCCTTATTGGGGTGGAGGTGCCTGGTGCCCACACTCCCCACCCTGTGGGAGGCAGCACAAGGAGCTGGCGAGAGATGGCTCAAGACACATTCCTGAAGAATGAAAGGGCGCACTGTGTGGGAGACAGATGGGGCGGAGCATGGGCAGGGGAAGTTGCAGAGGTATCTGGAGAGGGGAGTTGGGGGAGTGTGGGGTACCTGCCACTTCCTCATCCTGTGCCCTGTCCCAAGAGTTCGAGGCTCACCTAGGTGTGGCAGAGTCAGGAGGCCTCTGACCCAAGCATGGGGAAGCAGGCTCAGAGAGGGAAGGGTCCCTGCCTCCACCGCCCAAGGATGGCCTCGGGCACATGAGCAGGAGAGGGTCCCTGCCTCGCTGCCTGTGACGGCCTGTCGCTGTGCAGGCTGCCAGCCCCACAGACCCCTAATCAAAGTGACAGCTCCAGGAGGCCTCCCAGAGCCCAGAGCGGCTGTCCCACCCCCCCCACCTTCAGCATCCTGCCAGGGACGCATGGCCCTCCTGGCTGCCGCAGGTCTGAGACCTCACGTGTCTAGGAACAAAGCAGTGTGTTAAAGCCTCCTTATACTTTGCCTGGAGCCTCTTGAAAGTTGAGGTGTGACTCTGTTTTTCCGGAGCTGCACCCCAAGGGCTCTCTGCTCTGGCCCAGTCCCCGCCAAGGGCTGGGAAAGGCCTTCCGCATGCCTGAGGTCTTCTTACCCCCACCCCTCACTGCAGGGCAGTTGGGGGCCTGCCTCTCCCACCCCAGCCCTCAGAGAGACAAGGAGACAGGAGAGATCCACGGGAGTGGGTGGGTGTTGGGGGGTCACGGCCTGGAGTAGACTCAGAAACAATGAGGCCAATGGAGAGCAGGTTCTTGGCTGGAGCCCCTAAATTCCAGGGTTCCTGGAAATCCGAGGACCCTCCATCCCTGCCGGAGGCACGGCCATCCCTGTCGCATGCTCCCACAGTGCTGCTCACTCCCTCAACAA